GCGGCAATCGAGACGCCATGGTCTCTGAATCGTTGGTGTCCCCGCTGGCAGGCGGAGAGAGAACATAACCGGGTGGTGGTCGCTAATGTACGCTGGTGTCGGTGGCAATGACGTTCCCCCAGTGTCATGAACTTCCATGTATGTCACTCAATGCTAATTGCTGCATTACAGACTCAAGTTCCCTGACGTTCCAGTTTGGCTGGCCGCGTTCCGGACCTAGAACGTCTGTGTGCGAGTCTAAGTCGCAATTGAAGTCCCCTAAGAGCCCCACCTGTTGTGAATTAAAGAGGAATGCATCAAGGGAGCGAATAAATGCGCTAAAATTCACAGACACCACTGGGGCGTGCACACCGACAAATGCTTATACGGAACGATGCTTATACGCAACGAAAAGAAGGTGCAGTCGAATGCCAACACGCATCCGAAGGCATCGAAATAAACATGGTGGTCACGCAAAAGACTTCGGTTAACTATAATACCTTCAACGCCAGTCGAAAGCGTACTGGCGAACGAAAATAAACAATGAACTCCGAATGGGGGAGGGGGTTTAGAAAGAGTGGTCAACGATTTAGAGTACAGGGTACTCTACTATGGGAGAGCTTAAAGTTCACTGTATTCATGGCACTGCGGCCCAACGCTCGCTAAACCTTTCTAAAACCAAGGAGGTTATGCCCAGCGAGTATAACGTAGCAACCCTTTCCTGTCAGATAGTGCTCAATGTACATGCCAATGGCTGCTAAGAGGGAATGAGAGACAGGAGAATTCGGCTTTTGTTTCGTGTCTACTTCCCACCTTTAACCACATCGAGTTCATGTTATATAGTAGTTCACTGTATACGTGGCACTGCGACCCAATGCTCGCTGAACCTTTCTGAAACCAAGGAGGTTACGCCCAGCGAGTATAACGTAGCAACCTTTTCTTGTCAGAGAGTGCTCCATGTACATGCCGATGGCTGCTAATGGGGAATGAGAGACAGGAGAATTCGGTTTTTAGTTAACGCGCACGCTGCGAATTCTTTATTGTTCAACCACGCACAGAATAAATCTCCCACCGGCGCCACCTTGCAGGTCAAAGCGTAAGACATGTTACGCACTACTACAAGGGACAACCGGGTACTGCTTTAAGAAGCTCGATCCCTAAAGAGATTAAGGGACACGTAAGGATTATGAGAAAAAAAAGGCAGATGTTTACAGAAGTCCGTGGAAGGGGCCCCGATCGGAGAGTGATCGTCGAAGAGATGACATCATAGATCAAATGACCGTCAGGAATGAAACCCGCCGAGCGTCCTTAAAAATGGTGTTTTAACTTTTTGGTGGCGTGTTAAAAAATTGATTATCTAGAATGCTTCGAACTTCGACTGGCAACAGCATATATATAGATTGCCCTTCCGTCGATATGCTGGTGAACTTTCTACTGATCCGCTATTGAGGCAGTAGACTCTGCCTCTCGAAATTCGGCAATTCCAGAACGTCTACGTCGGATTAAGGTGACACAGTGTTGTCGTGGAGCCGCAGCCACAGCCACAGCAAAACGAGTTTACACGTATTAGTAAAGTATAATTTCCGAATCCCGAAAACGCCATCTTTCCACGACATGATGCTTGGGAAGTGAGAAAACGAACGAAAAGATATTATGGGTGGAGACGCCACCTTCACGTTCCCGCACCAAACACCGTGACGTCATATTTTGAAAACATCTACTGGGTCCAAACCCAAAATCTGGCAACCACTGGCTGACATCGACATTAGGCTGCACACGGCATCGGGGCAGCGTATTCCAAGGGTGGACTTCATACGCGTTCTGGGCATGATTATCGAGGCTAATGGACAGAACGGCCGCACGATTGACCGTCTGACTTCTAAGGTGGAAGGGGTCATCCGACTAATCTCACGCATTTCCAACAGTCGGGGTGGTCTTCGAGAGCACAACCTCCTCAGACTATTCCATGCATTCTTGATGAGCCACATAAGCTATGTCGCATCTATGCACAGGTGGCAACTCCATGAAAGAAATAAATTGTACATCCTCATAAGGAAAAGCATCAAGAAAGTTCTTGGCATTCCTATGCGCACAAGCACTGAGAAGCTTATGAAACTTGGAGTCCACAACACGCTTGAAGAAGTTATCGAGGCTCAACAAACGGCACAGGTTGCCAGGCTTTCGATCACACCAGCGGGGAGAAAGATTCTGATTGACACTGGAGTCAACCCCCTGACGCTCGAAGTGCAAAATACGCCACTCGATGATTATATACGCTCTCGCATCAAAGTATGCCACCTTCCACGAAATATGCATCCACAGTACAACGCGGGCAGGCGTGTCGCTCGAGCCTCCTCTCTTTTAGCTCAAGCTCACAAACAATCGTCTGTTTCATGCTTTGTTGATGCCGCCCAGTATGGCGTTTCCACTCGCTTTGCGGTAGTATCCGTAGATACTAAGGGTCAGATTTTATCCTCGGCGTCGGTTCGAACCCCTTCTTCTTACAAAGCAGAACAGATGGCCATTGCACTAGCACTCCTTGATCCACAAAGTACTGATATTTATACGGACTCTAAATCCGCTGCTAGGGCCTTCGCTTCTGGTTCCGTTTGCAAGGAAGTTTTGAGAACTCTCGCTCCCAAGGAACTCACCCACCACACAATTATTTGGTTCCCTGCTCACCTTGGCTTGAGGGTTGGAGGCCTTCCCAATGTCAACGAGCTAGCCCACTCCAAGGCGCGAGGCTTCACTTACCGCGCCGGGACTTGTGCTTCTCAGACAGAGGAGTCAGCCAGCAGCCTTCATTTTAGGGACATTTTGACTACCTTCAACGAGATCACGAAGCATTATCAATTAGGCCGTAGGTCATTTCCATTGCCACACGAAAAGTTGTCTTGGCCACAGGCAATCTCTCTTCGCATGCTTCAGACGGGAACATACCCTAGCCTCGTAACCTATAGCCATTACTCCGATATTTCAGAACTTTGTCCAGACTGCCAGAATCGCAGTGATTTTAACCACATGCTCTGGAGGTGCCCCTCTTTACAAAGAAAAAATGAAGAATTTTCTGAGAACTCTTTTCATTTAATGCTCACGAGTCCGGTTCTCATAGAACAACTCAAGGCTGTCCAGAAGGCCCACGATGCGGCGGTGAGGCTGGGCCTCCCCGTCCCAACGTGGGAGCGGCCCGCGATCCTGTCCCTATAAAACGGGGGTGGAATCCTTCAGGACCCCAATAAAAGTTTTTCATCCATCCATCCATCTACTGGGTTATACAGAGATTCTAATCAATAAATATTGTGTGCCTTACCATCTGCAGATACCATGTACCTTGCATACAAAGTTTCGGGAAATTGCATCGGGCGAACGTCGCGAAAATTCTAAAATTACATCTTGAAAATTTTGAAGTCACACGCGAATATTTTGGCGCGAAAATTTAAAAATGAACGTTCAGCTTTGACTTTCTTTCCGCACATAATGAACATACAATAGTCTAAGATATGCCATTAGAGTTCTGAGAGTTCACTTCGCCAATCTGAACAAAGAAATTGTTCCTCTTTATTTTTTCTTTAAGTGTGAGATAATAGTTGCGAGCGTTTCGCCTCAGGAAACTTCCGTGGCTTCACTTATCAATCTCTAACACCGAAAAAGAAACTGTGTGTTCATGTTTTGTCAGCTTAAGGAAAGCCTCTTTTTACATTTTCAGATAACATTACGGGGTTTAAAACGCTAGGGTGCATTTTGTAAACTTTTGTAGATCACAGAAATGTGTTTGTTTGAAACATTAGCCGAAATATAGTGAGGAAAGTGCTGAATATCTTCAGGCTATTCGCCAAGGCTTTCCTTCCCCGCTGATTCTATAGTCGGAAACGTGACCAAATGAAACGAGAAGTTACTTGGGGCATGCGTGTGTAAACGTAGCCATACGCACTATAAAAAAACTGGCACTTCTTTGGCCATGCATCATGTTGAGCTCTTTTACCTATGACATTCAAGCGGTTCTTGAGCTGCAAAATCTCAAGGCATAACCAAGCGACGTAAGCCGCGTGTCATCTTTAGCAAAACGTAGCATTCCCAGTAGTTAATGTGTGCGCTTCCCGATGCTTCGACGAATAACGAAAGGTTTCGGCGGGATAGGCATTCGTCCAGTCTCCAAATCAAGCCTACAGTACTAAAATCGGGAAGACTTACTTCGACTCACCACCATGTATACCGGCGTCACATCGATTCACTGATCCTTCTTCAGAAGTTCTATTACAGCTCGCTTCATCACCCACCATATATCCCGGCCCCTCCCCTATGCATTTCCATTCATACTGAGCATCACCTAAAATCACTTCTTTTACAATCCCCTTGCCTTCCCAGGAACAGTGGTTGCTAATTACGTACTGTACAATTGTAAGCCCCCGATCTGTGCTGCTTGAACATGATGTATGACCCCCCTTGCATGATGTTCCAAATGGAAACAAGTCATGTGCTTTAATAAATTAAAAAAATAAATTACCCGTCAACCCAGCCCCACTACAGCCGTCTGATAACCTCTTTTCTCGTTCATTGACTGAGTGGAACGGCCTGCCAGTCTTGTTGCTGAGATCACCTTCCCATCAACACAGTGAAGAGTGGCTGCTAATTGAGTACTCTACATTTGTAAGCCCACCCTGTATACCCTCCCTGGAAAATAATAACTTTTTTCATAATATAGCGATTGTTTGGGTTTGATGTGTAATAAAGACACTGTTGGGGAGGCCTGGAGAAATTCGGACCACCGGGTTTTTTTTATTGTGTTCCTAAATCTAGGCCCACGCACTTCTAGCACTTTCACCTTCATTGAAAATGCGACCGCCTCGGCCGGGATTCGATCCCGCGACCTGCGGTTTAGCAGCCGAGTGCCTTAGCCACCAGAGGCACCGTGGCGGGTCGAGGAATTTTTTTAGAAAGAAAAGTGAAGTTAGGGATCGTTAACGACTCGCTCAAGTTTATATCGTAATGTATTCTGCAACTGCGTTGACTGTAGGACTTACCTGGGTGCAAGTGGTGTTGCGAGTGCGGGTGCATATGCCTCTGCAGCCCGTGATGACCTTGTGTGGGCGACATCTCTGAGGCCAGGGCGGACGGGTGTACAGACACTACGCCAAAAAAATTCAATATTTCAACACTCTATGCGAAACTTGCGAGCGAAATTCGAACTTTGATTTAGACTACGACATTCACATTCACCTTAAAAGCACTTCGACATTCTGTTGTAGTTACGTTAAACTAAACACAACAAAGATTAAAATGGTGGCCAGCTGAGCTACTTAATAGGTACTCACGCTAAAGATAGCAGGCGTGCAAACACGGACGCGCGAGAAGTGAAGACATTCTTTTGTGTCCTTGTTTACAGATCATGTCTCTTTCAAATAGCCAGCAATAAGAATTAACGACATACAGAACAGGATAACCATCTGCCCTGTCCTATGCATCCTGTTGTGCGTGTTTGTATCCTGTTTTACATTATGCGTCTTCCTTGTTCTAGCCTTGAGGAAGACAAGTCTGCTAGTCGAAACATCAGTCTCAAAACAACTCCTGCTTACAGACTTTTCATTCCTCGTACGTAGTCTTTCGTGCATATCGCTCAGCGCTACTCGACTCCGATTCATAAACCGAACGTGACGTGATTGAAGCTAACGACACCAGTCGTCCTAGATTCGTTCGCACCAAGAAATAGTTCAATGTTTTTACCACTTGTCACTTGTTTGTTTTTTTAGAACCAAGTAATAAAGAAACATGGCTCGTGTGTTGTTGAATAGAAATGCCCCGTTATTTGTGCGGCTGTCAATAGGTCGTCCTAGATCACTTTTCGTCTCTTTGTTATGGCTTCGCGGCCTCCGTGATATGTTCTGGTAGCGCACAGCCGGAGCTGATTTCGGAGGCTATTCAACAATATTTCAAGCGTGAGATGCGCAAACTTGCGTATTTTGCTGACAGAACTTTTTGCATAGCTTCAACAGTGTTTCTGGTAAATGAATGATTATAATAAAATGTCTTATACTATAAGTATAAATTAGAATGTATCAACTAGTCAAGTTGAAGTTTGGTGTGTGATTCGAAACTTACTCCATGCAGTTCACCATTCTCTGTAGAATTTACTTATACCTGTACTACCCTTGAAAATTACGCTTGTTTTCGTAGAAATTGTTGACGCAAGTTATAGATCGCAGGTGAAATGGTTGTGCCGACAATTCAATGCAAAACAGGGAATTGAGGGTCAGAAGGAAAAGATCTGGCGTGATTTTCATTGAAATGACACAATAAGGCATTTATGTGTAGGGTGAATTGTAACCCAACATATCCGTTTTTTTTTCTAATCACGCAAGAGAACAGACAATTCAGAGTTAGCCATAAGCTCGGAAAAAAAAGCAGAAGGGTGTGTCTGGAGATATCTTTATAGATTCGCTTGTAAATAGACACCCCGTGTGGGTTCAGGACATTACTGAAACATTACAATTGAGCTGTAGTCTTGGTGTGTTTCCGTTGATATGAGTAAATACTGCTATTTTTCATTATACTGCTTATACTACGCGTACCATCCCACACCTTACTAGCCTGTGCAGCAGTAGGTCACACCGAAAGAATACGTGAAATCAATCATAACGCTTTCTCACACGGTTTCCTCATTGGCGGACCTATTTTCACTATTTCTGTAGACTATTGTCAAAGTAAAGGGCCCAAGAGGTGATTTAGTGGTAAATTAAGCATTCTTGTCATCTAAAGTCTCTTTATATCACTTGTGGTATAAATATATTGCCACATACGATGGCTTTTGTAAATACCGTACGTGTTTAACGTGGCCTCCGACACGAGGAAATTTGGCAAGAGCTCTAAAATATATTTTTTAATATTTTAGCAATTTTCACAGCCAGATGATGACTATAGTGTGTAGTTTAAGTGGCTCATTGAATTTTGTTTGCGAATACACTTGTCTTAACTTTTTTGTACAATAATTAGATAACTTTTACGTTGTTTTATAATTCATTGCCTTGAATAATGATCACGTGCTGCATGACTCGACCAGCCATATGTCATCGTTCAGATTTAAATTACAGAATGCCTTAAAAGCGCTTTTAAGCTTCTTGTCTTGCGATTTATTGGCCTGTCAGAACGACTCACAGTTGATCACTCTCGTGTGCGTGCACATGGCTGTGTTTGTTTCTCCTCTTAATGTTTGTCTTCTCTTTCTTTCTTATTCCCTTATTTCCTGGCCCCAGTGCTTGCTAGCACACCAGATACTACCCTCTGGTTAAGCTCCCTGCTTTTCTCTGATCTTTCTTTCTCTTTTTTTCTTTTCGCTCTCTTTCCCTCTTTCTCGTCTTTCTTGTCCCCCTTCCTAATCTCCCAGTGTAGGGTAGCCAACCGGATGTCTTTCTGGTTAACCTCCCTTCCTTCTCTCTTTTGTTGCTTCCCTTCCTTCCTTCCTTCCTTCCTTCTTTCTCTCTTATAACACACGCAGAAAGTACAGAACTTGAGCAAAACGAGCGGTAAGAACAAGGTTGGTTTGTGAATACGGGCCTATACGCTTCCCACTCACCGCCGAAGCACGAACTGGTGGGCGACAGACCCATCCTGCGGGCGACGGGTCCCGGCGAGTCGTCGTCACTTCGCAGTTCCTCACCGAGGTCCGCCACTTCGGCCCGGGTCGTGCCACTGGCCGGTGGTGAGGCACCGCCGCGTCCACTGCTACCGCTGCCTCGAAGAACGGCAGCGGCCGCGGAGTCACCGGACAGTGGGCTGCCGAAGGACGATGGGCCGTACAGACCTGGGGCGTGTAGGGCGTACGGGAAGCCGATCCGAAAACCCGCGCTGGCTTCCATGTAGGGCACTGCTCTGAACGAGGTGTCTTCAAAGTCTCGGGTCAACGTCCGCGCACTCTCGAACGTTGTCGATTGGGGTTTTCCGGCGAGACGATGACTTCGAGTGAAGACTCCTTTTGAAAAACTCTTATGTACGACTTCCGGCGAAATATTCGAGTGGAGATATCTGGTGATAACCTTGGGAGACTTTCGGTGAATGCTCGAGAACTGAGGTGCGCAGTTCGGAGAGCTGCGGCTTCCGGTTTCCGCTGCTTTAAGTCCGAAGATTCGCTCAACAGGTGACGTTCTGGATAGAGGGCTCAAGACGGACCTGTCTCTATGCTGATGTTCACGATATCCAAGAAGATTTTTTCTTGTAAAGTGATACGGAGTAGGTGTAGCTAAAGTTATCGTTACATTACGCGTAGCCTAAAGACGCCGTAGTATGGAATAGCTTCATCGGAGCTGTATGTATGTTTTTCTGTCGTTTAGATTGACTGCTTCCCTGGTAAAGGTGACCTGCTTGATGAACTAAGTCTCTGTGAGGCCTGTCAACAAGACGCGATTGTTCTCAGCGCTGTGAGGTCATATTGCGAATAATTGCAAGAGTATCTCGTATGGTTATTCCTCACAAAATTGAACATGAAAGTTTCTTTACATGCGGTTTCTGATGTTTAGGCCAGCCATAGTACTTATCAGGAGACCCCGAAACATGGCCCTCTTCAATTTGCAGTTTGGTCAAAAGCTATGGCAAAGCTTAAGTGATGTTTGGCTTTCTGGAGCCTAGAGTTCTTTTTGTTGGTTTGGAGGTGCTCAATTTAGTGATTGATAAGGGCGTGCACACGAATTTTAAAATCTAGGTAATGACTACCGATATGTTAGGATAAGTTAGCAGGGTTTCATCATAAGCGTCAGACGTTCCTTGCACAGTCAGTCAGGCGTTGACTTCTATGTAGCAACGTTACTCCTAAGTTCTCTGGAGTGCAGACGAATCTATGAAGCAGATAGAACAATGCAAATACTTTTAACGAAATTATTTTCGTGAGAACTCATAAAATGTATATTGGTGCGAAAAGAAGTCGGTAAGTCACATTACCAACAGCATAAAAATCCAGAGTTTAAAAAAGGAGGATCGTGGTTATGTCTATCGCAAGTTTTATGGCGGTCACTGAAGAAAGTAAACGCCGAAATTGTGGCGTAGCCTTTTTGATAATAGGAATCTTTAAGTCGCAAAATAGGCAATGCTCTGGCCCCCACTATTTGACCTGTGTGGAGTAAAGGATAATATGTATTTATGAACGTCTACTCTAGCAGAACGTGAATATTTTTTTCTGAGGCGCAAGGTTGGGAACACTGGTACTAGTTTCTGCTGCTATGGCATTTTTGATGGCACCTATGATGATTATAAATAAATTAAGCATGAGGATTTTTCAAAACAAACTCTATGCCTAGTGCCCGCTGTTTTTACAGTACCTGTATAAAGTTTTTTTTCCGTTCAAGTTTTTCATTAGCACTCGATTGACTCACGAAAATCCACCATCTGTTTGACGATTCCGTGGTTTATTTTACTGAACACTGTTTATCCGAAATAGTTTGCAAGAAATATTCACACTTCTAAGTTATTAGGTTCGTGAGAAACGAGAACCTTTGGCACTGCGTGCGAGCAAAAGTTATCAAAGACTGCTGCTGAGCAAATGCAACAGAAACACGAGTACGAATAAGCACTCACGTGAGGCAAGGTCTTGTCAGCTGTTCTTTGACTACAACTAATCTGACGATTGATACTGATAAGCACTGATAAGCGTTTGAAACCTCAGGTTCTTCTTAACAACATATCTCACGCCACCTTTACCATGCTGAGGCCTGTCTCTAGGTGTTTAGAGCCTACTACAACTTTCTTGCTACTAAATTCTGGGCGTTGTACTATTCCCTTTCAAGGACAAATTTCGATAACAAACTGTTGCCTGGTTTCAAAGTTTCACTCGAAAAACCAACACTGGCACGTTCATACTTGATCCTCGAATTTACATCTACATATTCACTGATGTCACCATCACCAGCTAAATGCAAACAGTTGATCTTTTTCATCCTTTATGGGTGGTTTCGCTTCTGTGTCCGATTTCAACGAGGATAAACATCACATCGGAGTCACCGCGAGTGTTACAATTTATCCATTCGTTCATTTAGTTGCATTTTGTTTCATAAAGACGCGCTTCACCTTCAGCCTCACGTGACGTTGTTGTGACACTGCGCCAACGATGCTGAGAGTCATCTGTTTCGTAGAGAACGTAATGATCGCTATCGCCACAAATTATCACCGCTAATAGGAGCAATTTCTTTGAATTCGGTGCCCGGTTGCAGTCACTGGAAGATGAGTCAACCTGCAAGATAGAAGTAGAAAGAACAGAAAAATACTTTGGACGCACATTCGGTACCATCAAATGAAACTCGCGCGATATGCGTGGTGACGTCAAACGAAACGTGATATGCGGTAGGCATTAGCAATCGTGCAGTTGCGCGCCATCTAGTTATGACGAACTCGCATCCTGTTTGGCAGCAGAGCGTCATCCAAATTTAGTACCATTTTTCCGCTTCTGTTCAAGTCGTAACAATTCAAAGGAGCGAAATAAAGGCAAGAAAAGATCGAACTTATACCACAGAAAGTGATCTGTACACCAGTGCCACTCGCGATTGTGATCGTGACACCATGTCATGACTAGAACATGAGGAAAAATAGTGTACTACAGGGGGACCACGCAGTGCTGCATGATGTGCGTGCCCGTCAGTATAGTGATAAGCGAGTGGGGCGAACTGAACCATTGCAAATGCTTGCCACCTGTATACCTACGTAGTAAACCTAATACTTATAATTTCTACGTACTACCTAGCATCATTCACATGTCCTCATGAAACCTTTACTTAGTGTCACCAGGCGTTGACAGCGGTTCTATTAGCAACAAGTCTTTACAAAGTGCTACGCGTCGGTGAGCAATGTACCTAAACCTCCAAAACCTGGTAGCTCTTCATAAAAACATCTTATGTAATCCACAGTTACTTTTTTGTGGGCGCTCCGTGATTGCGGGACACTGAAGAACATGAATTAAAAAATACTTGACCAACAATACGGTTGACTGCTGACTACATCTGAGTTGTTCGTCACTCAGATACCGAAGAACTCTTATACAGGCTTTTGTCGTAGCTCTACTTTCAATTGTACTGCAAATGGACATCAACAGGTTTTCGCATTACAACATGCGAATAATAAAATGTTGATTAAAATAAATGTGTGATTACAAATATATATATATATATATATATATATATATATATATATATATATATATATATATATATATATATTAAAAAAAAGTATGCTAATGATAGTCTAGTAACAAATCTTGTGAAATTGCTTATATATGAAAAACATTGACTTACCGGTTGTCGATATCCCCTATCAGGAGCGGTTAGGTGCAATCAGGTACAGTCCAGGATTCCTCGTTTCCTTGGACATACGCTTTGTATTGGAAGACCCACTCGACTGTTTTGAAATAGCTGCACACCAGAAGCTGTCATCGATTCAGTTCACGCTATCGTTGACCTAACACAGAGCAACCGGATGGCTTTGAGGGGCGTTCGATGTCGGATCCATGACGCGATCTTCACAAGAACCCGGCGTCGATTTCCTTCCCGACGCAGCTCATTACCGATCGAGAAGCTAAGTACCCCTTGTCATTCATTGATGTCACGATGTATCAAGCACAGCACAAAAAGAATCCTCCTCTCATCCTTGGTGTCCATCGGCGCAACCTTAATTCTTCTCACTTTCAACGATATTTTACACACAACGAAGTGAACAACTAAAGAGAAGAATGCCGAAAGAAAAGACGCCAGAATGGATCGACAAAACTAACAAACAAACTCCGCCTGATCCCGGCAACAACGTCGCAGGTTCACTTGACGGCGACCATCGCGGTGAGCACAGCGCCTCCACGCGAGGCTACGTCAGCTCGACGTCGCTCACACTTCGCCACTGAACACGCGGGAATTGTTAGGAAGGGCGCTTTCCGGGAGCAGCAAACCAGACAAGTTTTTCGGGAGAAGAGGGCGGGGAGGAGGGGGGGACCTCTCGAAAGTCCGAAAGAAGGGGAAGAAGGGGGAAAAGAGCAGGGTGGCAGAGCCAGCCCCTCGCCGGCAGGCCACCGATTGACACCTCCCCGCAAGTGCACCCTTGTACTCCCCCCCCCCGACCTCTCCCTCCACATTTCCCTTCTGTCATTTATATTTTCGTTGCATCCACTCTCTCTCATTTTTTCCTTCTTGCAGCTCTCTCTCGGTCGCAGTCATATCTCTTTCTTTTTGTTTCATTTGTGACTTTTTTTTTATTCTCTTTCTCTCGACCCTGCCTTTCAGGCCGTCCCGACTTAGCTGCTGTGCCAGCGGGGGAGAGCATACTTTTCCCTGTTGAGGTTGTACCTTTCCCTTTCCTTCGACCTCTTCCCATTGAGACTCTTTCGCTAAATGCCATCACCGGTCCTGTAAGCCTTATTTGCAACACCGTTATCGATGAGCCATGTCCTCTTGTGCTTCTCAATTATGAGCACTTCTCGTTATTAATTAGCATTCAAAAGGTTTTCTAGTTTTGCCTGCTAATGGTCTCTGCAGCATGGCTTTTCATAAGTTTTGCGAGGCAACTGCTACAAAACCTTCAATTTGTTTAATACTTTATTTTTTTATTTACATAGCTGTGCTTTTGCTACTAGTCGGCTGTGTGCCATAGTCGTCACTGTGTGCCTAGACGCCACAGTGTGCCATATGGCGGGTACTGGTTTCACGTTGCAAAAGTTTGATATGATATGATGCCTGCCGTAGCGGAGGTCCCGGGAATACCCCCTGGGGTCACTCAACATGCACCAAAGTCTAAGTAAATGAGCCTCCAGCGACTGGCCAGCACCGAAATGGAACCGCCGCCGACGGCATCGAATCAGCGAGTTTGGACGAGTATAACATTCCCAGATATACCA